GGGGGGGGGGGGGCTCTGCTTCAGAGATTTTTGAAACCATATGCGCCTCCTCTCTTGTTTCCCTTTAAGAAAATAGTTTACGTTCATATTGAGTTGAATGTGCACTTACATAGCTGACATGAGTCCATTACATGCTGGAGATGATGGTTCATGGCTAAGATGATAAAGTTGTGAATAAACACATTTAGTTATATTGCAAATTTGATTACGTCCAACACGGTTGATATGTTGGATTCAATCATGTTGTTCTTACAATTTGGGGTCTGGAGTTCACATATGCTGCTAACTTCAATTTTGGAAGCATTAGTGTCACTTTTCCTTCTGTATCTTGCTTTCATTTTCATTGACTTGTATCTCTGGAGTCCAAGTGTTTTGTTTCTTCTCATTTTCTTGATTACATGTTATTGAACACCATCTTTATTCATTTACTTTAATCATGAAGCATACTGTGTTGTTGCTGCTGAATCTGCTGGCAGACAAGTTCCAATGGCTTTTCTTGAGCGTACCAAGGATGACTTTACCAAGAAATATGGTGGTGGGAAAGCCGCTACAGCTGTTGCCAATAGTCTGAACAAGGAATTTGGGTAACCTGGCCCTTCATTTAAATCACAATATTTATGTTAATCCTTCTTGGTTATTTACAGATTTACGGTCAAGTTTACTATTACCAGGCCCAAGCTGAAGGAGCAGATGCAGTATTGTGTGGACCATCCTGAAGAAATCAGCAAGCTATCTAAGGTAAAGGCACAGGTTTCAGAAGTCAAAGGTGTGATGATGGAGAACATTGAAAAGGTAATCCTTTTTGGGTGTTTAGGTTAACTGCTCAAATACAAGTGCATATGTTTGTTTTATTTTTGATCTTGTAATTGTTTGAATATATAGGTGTTGGATCGTGGTGAGAAGATTGAGCTCCTTGTGGATAAAACAGAGAACCTTCGCTCTCAGGTTAGTGAAATTCAATCTATGCATTAGCTACATTTTGTTCATATCCTTATGTTTGAAAGGACCGTCATATCATTTCCTGGAACTGTATACATTTGCTTCACCAACTGTTTTAACTTTACTTGGTGCTGAATATGCTTCCATATAATTTTAACATGTGTACAACTTAAGTACTATCTGGTTCACTGTATAATTTAACACACACACACACACATATCTAGATATTATGTAAGTCACCAATTTAATGTGCACAATTTTGCCTGTTTTTTAGAATTAGATCCATTTTTATGTTCTTTAATAGAGTTTTGGGGATATATAATAACGAAAATATCTTCAAATCAAAATATATCAATTTTTGTTAAAGAGATGCAAAATTTGGAACAGAAATTACAAACCCAAAGCCTATTTTCGTTTATGTTAAAATTGTGTTCATAAAAATGTCAAACATCCAAAAAGAAGAATTTAGATACGTTTTTGGTTCTTTTAATAATGTTAATATCTATGGTAGTACTGTAGTAGTTTTATAAAAATATGTTGTGAAGGCTTGTACCATTCAAGTGGCAATATATTTGTGTTTGTATGGTGTACAATGCTACACATCCACCCATTTGTTTCACATATAAAATGAAACGGGCAAGGATTTAGCCTAAGGGAAATAATCAGGGGGAGTAAAGCTGTTGGGGATGGACTACGATTCTGTTAACAGGGGTAGTTAAGGTAATTCAGCAAATAAATGATCATTTCGAACATTGGTAAGTCGAACTCCTTGTTGCCCAAATCTTCACAATGGGCTTACTGCTTTGCCAGCATGACGATTGTTAAAAAGCCTCTCAACCGCTATGATTGGGCCTCTTTGGTTGCGTGTGGTACTGATGATAGGATGGGACGCGACAAAACAAAAACTTACTTTCCCATGTTTGATGCGACATTTAGACCGGAAGAAGAGAGGACTGAGTGTGCAAAAATATATATTTTTTGTTCCACCAAAATAAGTGGAACAAAATCAAGGGAATATGACAAGGTTGGTAAATTACTAAACTATCCATGTCAAATTAAAACCCTAAAACCTTGCATGATTCTTTTTCACTCGCCTACCTCACTCTCACCCGTCCAGTCTTGTCTGCGTGCCAAACGCACATGTAGGGTTCTTTCACATGCTTTTTCAACTAATCCGGGCAGTATTTGGAGAAAGAAGTTTTTGGACATATCATGGACCAGTTATCATATAGCTGGAGTGCCTTGACAATGCTAAGCCAGCTTATGATCAGATCAGCCTTCATCACTGATAATGCTTCTTTCAGTCATTTCTGACAAAATCTGAGCATCCACCACTCGTTTTGCTTTTTTGGACCCCCCCCTCCCCGGCAGGAAGACAACAACAAACAACACTTTTACTGCATTTCAACAACCCTTCCAAACTTTTTGATCTTGCATGTCCCTTGCAATCTGTTTCTAACAAGATCAGACTTTTCTGGACATTTGAACACATCCACTTGGAACCTGATTTTCCGGAGGCATATGCATTTCCTATTAATCCATGAACTTTATGCAATTTACGAAACTTCAGGCACTGAATCTACATTTCTTCCAGCTGTTGGTCTTTTACTAAATTCTGAAGAGGTGGGAGTCTTTTTGAAATTTCAGCTTTCTTCTACCCTCACTGCCATCTGCTGACTTTCATGCACCTGATCCAACCATTGCATGGATTGTTCTGCTAATACCTATTAAGTTTGATAGAGCACACTTGGCTCTTGACTCACCTTTGGGGAGTTTCTGTGGCACTACCACTTTTGTTGTGAGTTATTACTCAGGCCATGTTAGTGCGACTATCTGAACTTTGTAGCACCTAATTTTGGCTAACTTTTTACCATCTTCTACATGCTTTGTTGCTGCTCTGGTTGTATTCCTTTATCATTTTGATGATGACATCCTCGAGGAGTTTGATATGGAGCATTCTCTTAGATTTGTTGGATATTACATATAGATTTGTTTGTAGGAATAATAGGAGAGTCAGGAGGGCGCATCTGCTATTGCTGATGTGTGTGTGTGTATATATATATAGAGAGAGAGAGAGAAAGAGAGAAAGAGTTTCAAATACAAACCAATCTTAGCCGTCCACCTAGTTGTATAAATATCTTGGTTGTTTCCTAATACAAAGCAATGATCATAATGAATGAACACCATCATCTTCCATAAATATCTTGATCATAATGAATGAACCTTGATCAACTTCCATAGATCTCGATTGTTTTCTAATTTAAGTGTTGATCATGGTTTGTAAAATTTCCATGGTTTGTATTAAGAACTCCCTATATATATACATACCTATATAGGGGGACTAATCATGTGATTGTGAGAACCACAAAAATGTTACAAACCGTAAGAACCATTGCAACATATGTTATTTTACATGATTTTTAGGCAAGGATTGAAGGTTTTGATTAACATATGTTTGTCTCACTATGTGTTTGTTTAACATGTATTTGTTTCACAATGTGAAGCTTTTTCCTAGCCTTGGCCTTAAATGAAAATAATAATAATGTGAAACAATACCTTAATGTAAAAGTTCTCATGGTTCTCACAGTATACGGGGTTCTCATTTGATTATTCTCCTATATACACATATATTTGTTTTTGATGATTCACTGTTGGTTTTGCTTGCCAAGATATCTATCCTCCAAGTTCAAGAGTCTTGCAAGATAGAATCGTATTAAGTCTGGACTTGGGCGTAACAGTCTCAACCCATTAGTTAGATACCAATTTTTCGAGCTTTTCTAAAACTAATGACACAATTTCTTTTCGGGGATTTCCTAAAAGAATGCGACATTTTCCACTTTTTCGTGGGTTCCAATCCATAATGACCTTTTCATCTGCTCCCTGCGTCCCAAAACAAGAGTACACATTTCTATTTTAGTTTGTGCCAAAATATGTATCCGTTCTCAAAAGTAAGTGCTTACTTTTCAATTCTACTTTTAGTTATAAGATGAAGAAATTCATTACTCACTCTATTATTAAAGGTGAAATTGTCATTTAGTTAGTTAAGAACTATAAATTATTACACATTTCTAAAACTATTCCCCCTTTTCATCGTGGACATTTAATTTTGGGACAGAGGGAGTAACAACTAGCCTATCAGCCAACAACTAGCCTATCAGCCAGTTTGCCAAACATATCCTAAGATGACCAATTCTATTAAGTTCCGTATGGATAAAATTCTCTGCGTGGATTAGTCTGTCTGTATAGATTGGGAAGATTTTTGTTTAATAGAGGTTTTCACATAGATGGAATGAACGTGTTTCTTAAGTGGGAGGTGCAGATTTGGAAAAAACTTGGCTTTTTGCATAAAAATCCCCTCTTAGAAACTCATTGAATAAGCTAGTTTCTATATGATTGACCCACTATTAAACAATCAATTATAGCTGACCGAAGAAGCTGCAAGTCCCATTAAGCTCATTAATCTGCTAACAGACCCTAAAACTGGAGTTTGTATGTTGCAGGCACAAGATTTTAGGACACAAGGTACACAAATGAGGAGGAAGATGTGGCTGCAGAATATGAAGATAAAACTGATAGTTCTTGGAATCATCATTGCCTTGATTCTCATTATAGTTCTATCGGTCTGTGGCGGCTTCAACTGCGGCAAATGAAGCGCGTATATAGCTCATTCATGGTAAAACTTCCGTTATCTCGTTTATTTCTGTTTTCCCATGTTTTATTCGTGTCGGTCTGCTGTTAAAAAGCCTATGTTGCAAGACTGCCTGTATATTTTGTACCTTGAGACCAGGGAAACACCTTGATTGCTCTTTAGTCTTAACCTTTACTAGAATAATTCGTGTTGTTTTTGAAGTATATATAATATTTTATATACGGCAAAACTCGCACACGCTCCTTATTTTTGGTGAGAGGCTTGAACCCTTCGACCTTGAGGGAGGCTGGGGTTGTTTGATGTATGGATAAATCCGACTGTTTGGATTAATCCCAATCCGAATGTTTTTGTTTGAGAGTTATTTATGGAAAGGAACGTGTTCTTTTAATTGGCAGGGGATGTTTGGAAAAACTTGGCTTTCTTAATAAAGCTGCCCTTAGAAGCTTACCGAATAAGTTACTTTTTATATCATTAAGCCATTACCAAACAATCATGTATAATTGACTGAATAAGTTTTGAGTCTCGTTAAGTTGTTAACAAACAGACTCGGATACCGCTGTGTTGGACCAATGAAATAATGGGTCTTTGTTATCATGAAAGGGGTTGCACAATAAAGACACATTAAAAAGATTACCCTTTTAGCCTCCATGCTGAGAAAAAAGTGAGCAGGTGAGTTATCTTGAGTCTGTAGTGTGATTGTATCATGAGAGCAAAGTTCAAAGATTCGAAAGATCGCTGACAAATTGTGCACTGAAATCACGTAAACAACTGCTTTACTCTTTTGGTAGAAGTTATATTTGCGTATGTTAATGTCCCGGATCTTACATCTGGGTGAGATTTACTGGGCTTCTTTGGTTTAGTATATGTTCAATAAAACAAGTTGTGATAAAGACCGAGAGATGGATTGAAGAGAACATACTAAATACAGCGAAGCAAGCTACGGCCTTTTGGTGGTTTCTAAAACGAAGACAAATGGGATTTTTTTGGAGATTTTAGACTATTTTTTGCACCAAATTAAGGGTTTGGTTTCTATGAGAAACGTAAGAAGAGATCTCCACCCTTGGATGCACTTTAAGATGAGATGCATCAAGATGTCTTGGATCAGTCCCTTTATTAAGTTCGATTCATGAGTGAGTTTGAGATTAAAGGTATATATTTCTTCTTTACGTTTTTCATCTTAACTCTCATTTTTACAAGATCTTTCTCCCCAAAATTAAATGGAGCAACATCTTCAGTCATAAACGTGTTAGGCTGAAAGTTCGCTAACAAGGCAAAGAAAGATCGAGCCAACACCACAACCACATCGGAAGTTTTAGGTGTTTGTTATTTAAAAGGTGATAAAGGTTGAAGTCTTATTTTACCTTTTCTTGATAAGATATGGTGTTAAAGTCTGAAAGCAGAATCAGTAAGACTTTTTATAAACAGATAAATATCATAATCTATAAGCAAATTTAATGTTAATGATATTAAGATAGTATTGATAAAAAGTGTGTAGTAATTTTTTAAGAGTACTTAGTTTTGTATTATTGAGACTTGTACTTCTAAACGTTTTTAATTCTCAGATGTTTCATTGTCATATGGTACGAGTCATAAATCTCGAGTATGCTATTTGCCTCTTGTTTTTTGGGGTTCGAATTTTTTTTGTTTTTGCTTTTGAGGAAATAGGAGGCTAATAAAATACTGCTTTATCTCTTGTCCGTTAAGATGACGATAAGAGCTTTTAAGCTCTTATCAGGAAAAACAGTGTTATAAATCTAACTCTTATTTGGTAAGACAAAGTGGTGAATAATACGGGAAAAAAAACAAACTACACCGTAACTTTTCTCCAAGTTAAAATTTGGTGTCCGTTTCACACCATTTGCAACAGGATTTAAAAGCCTTGATTTCGTCATTCGTCAAGAAGTACGACCTCTCTAATACTGTGCGAAATGAGTAGGCGTTTGTCTGTGAAAGCAAACTAGGGGATTTGGGCATATTAATAACCAGTTCCGTGACTAACTTGTTCACCGATTCTATAACCTACCAATCTTATTAAATGAACAAACTTGAAAACCGAAAAGGGTTTAATCAGTATAAACACATACTTTTATACAAGATCCTAATCGACGTGTCTTTGAATACGAAATCTCCATATCTTACCGTATTTCAGTCGTTTTCGAGCCGAAAACAGTATTGTTCCAAAATGAATAATGTCATATTCTTGAAATTGTATGTGGGTTGTGAAAGGTGTATTGGTGTGGGTCCATGGGTTGGAACCATTTTAAGGCCATGGAGTTGCAAAGGTTGGTGACCACCAATGCATTAAGTGGAGAAGAATGAGTCATGAATGAAAACAACATGGAGGACCACAAATAGGTAGAGGTGCATAAAAATGGATGAAACTAAAGAATTATATTGGACTGAATAATTAAGCTGGATACAATCATACTGTTTAATTTAACAGGTCGACTGATTGGTTTGAGCTTGACTCCAAAGGTCAAAAATACCAGGAGGTCCCATGTTCAAACCCAAGGAGAAATAAAAATCCCTTTGTGGCCACGGAGGTTCAAATTCGATGACTCCGGGCTATCTGCAAAGCAGGTGGTCGCCCTGGGATTAGTCGGCTCGCATAACGGGTTGGATATCCAGGTTAATAAAAAAATAAATAAATTATATTTTATCTTTAACAAATTAGATACGTAAAACGAAAACCCGTTAACAGAAAAAAGGTGTTAAACAGATCGAAAGTATTTCAAAATATGTTAATTATTTATACAAAAATTTCAATTTGATTATTATTTATAAATAAATTAAAGCTAACCAATTTTAATGATGTCTCGTGTAATTAAAACTTGAAAGCTATTATTAACTAAATACGAAGGATTTAATAAAAGTTCGTAACTAAAATTAATTAGAGATATGTTAATAACACTACTCAAATTTAGTTAATAATAGAGAGTGTAGTTTTGTAATGTTTACAAATAGGCGGCAAACGAGTTTATATGTGCGTGTGGTTCATATATGAATCCGTGTGATTCACATATGAACTAATTAACTGATTCACAATGAACCTTTGTGATTCACATATGAACCCATATGATTCACATATGAACTAAATAACGGGTTCATGTATGAACATATAGTTCATATGTGAATCACACGGGTTCACATATGAACCCGTTTGCCGCCTTTTTGTAAAATTTACGAAACTACCCCTCTATCTTCCGCATATGCATGCGATGAATTCCAGTGCTTCACAGTCAAAGCCGCAAATGTTGACCTAATGAAAGGCTATGATCACTTCTCAAATACTTACTACTTCTTAAATGAATCTTTTCACACACACACACACACACACATGTAAAGATGTGGTGAGGAGAATTAAGGTGAAAAGCATAAAAAGGAATCCGTACCCTTGATCATCTTTAATCTCAAACTCATCCATGAATTCCGCTTGATATGAGAACCGATCCGATGCATCTCATCCTATTGTGCATCCAATGATGGAGATCCCCTTTTATGCTTCTTATCTTAACTCTCCTTCTTACTAGAATCCAATCCTCTGTGTGTGTGTATATATATATATATATATATAGAGAGAGAGAGAGAGAGAGAGAGAGGTTCATTTGAAAAGTGGTAAGTATTTGAGAAGTAAAGAAGTGATCATAACCCTTCATACGGTGAAGATTAATAAAACATTGTAGCTTTGTCTGGTCAAGATTTTTGCGACTTTGACCGGTCAAACGAAAAATATAGAGATAGTTTCGTAATTGTTACAAACAGGAGGCAAACAAGTGCATATGTGAACCCATAGTTCATATGCGAATAAACTAATTAGTTCATATACGATTCACACAAGTTCATATGTGAATCATTCAGATGCATATGTGAATTGGTTAAATTGCCATATGTGAATTACACTGATTCACTATATGAACATATAGTTAGTATGTGAATCACACATGTTCATATATGCATTTGTTTCGCCGCCTATTTGTAAAAGTTAAGAAACTACTCTTCTATCTTTCGCATACCATGTGAGAAATTATCCGGTGTTTCATAATCCAAGCCGCAAATCTTGAGCAGATGAAGGGTTAAGATCACTTCTCTACTTCTCAAATACTTACCACTTCTCAAATCAACCTATGGTTATATATATAATCCAAATCAAATACAAACCTTGTATTTGATGCACAACTTATAAACCAAATCTCAAACCTTGATCTATCCTTATCATTTTCTTTTTTTTATTCAATATGAAAATATTAGGGAGGGGTAATGTTGTAATTGAATTTATTAATCTATACTATCTTATAAAGCAAATTTAGCAAAAGTCTTAAAGTCTTAAAATACTAAATGGCAAAGATACCCTTATCTATACTACCTCACTTTTTCACCTCCCCCTCTCTACACATACACTCACCCCCTCACATACACTCATCCTCTCACATTGAACCGATTTTTTTAAAATTATAATTTTAAATTTACACTTTATACCCCTATAATTAATTAATTAATTTACTTTACGTCATTTACTTTTAAATGTTTCATTTTAAACCTTAATCAAATTAACATACATACTCGTATATCAATTAAAACATGTTTAAAAAATACATTTTTATTTTAACAAGTTACACCATTATAATCGTCTCGTTAATACCTTCGAAATGAGTCCAATATTGAATAGTTTTTGACTTAATTATATTATTATATATTATATATACTGTAAAAAAATATTTTTAATATTTACGATTTATACTTTTATAGTTATTTATTTATATATATACTATATATTTTGGGGTTAGGCTGTCCAAATTGCATTGTATAATATGTTCTGAATTAATATGTTCTTGAGTTTTTTTGAAATATATATATATATATACATGTATTAATTCAACCTTAATCTGAGTTTCTGGACAAAAAAGAGGGTAAGCAGTTGAAATTTCATTCTAAAACCCATCTTTTTAGTCTTTTCATGGCTTATGATCTGTCAAATTTGTAGTTTTCTTTATTGGTTTTGAGTGTTTATCTTAAAATTCAAGTTTCTTGGTTCTTTGCTCTTGGTGTAAATCGAACACATTTGTCGCGTCGTTTAAATATGTTGGATTTTAAATATATTGAATTTTAAACTGTCATAAAACTTTTTTCATCGATAGTCTGTAATTGGAACCATAACTCGTATTTATTCAAATTGTATTAATATGTAAATATCAAATGTAACCTATATCATCGTTAAATCTTATCTTATAA